TGCTGAAGAACCAAATTTCCACTGTTTGCAATCACCATTCAAGACAAAACTATGACACTCTCCTGATGCTCACAGGAAGACTCACCGTGAAATAAGAAGTTAGAGACTACCTGATAGCATTCTGCTTATTTTCTCCTTATGCTGCATACAAATTTTTTTCCCTGTGATGAAATATTGCAAATGAGAGTTGGACAGTAAGTACAGAGAATTGTCTTTGTGGTTGGTTCTGCCTTGCAAATTTTCAACGGACAGGATCAGGCCACTGTGCAGCTGAGGAAAATTCAATGTAATCACCAGCTGTCACTTGAGTGAAACTGAGTTTTGTTTGAAGACCAAAGAAGCAAAATTTCTTAAGCATTGGGAAAGTGTCTTTTGCAGAGATATTGCACGTTTCCTGGAAGAGTTTAAAATACCTTTTTTTTTTTTTTTAATGGCAGCTGTTTTGCAACAGGAAGCAAGCAATTTGAAAATTACAAAAAGTCGTTTTATAAACTTGCATTTGTTCAGGAAAGTCTATTAGCAGGGAAGAGTTTAGTCTGTTTATATGAACAGTTCTGAATGTCAGATCTTCATCAAAATTATTCCATTTTACCAGATCATCCAGTATGGTTGAGATCACTGGGTCCCAAGAGAAACTCCTGTAAACCAACACAGCCCCATGAGCTGTTCTGCCTTTATAAAGTCTTCAGCTGAAAATCTGAACACGCCATGAAAACCCAGGCCTCACTATTGTCAAGTTCTAGAAATTCCTGATTCATTTCCTAAGACCCATTTCTAAAAAAAGAAGTATTTTCCAGTGATGAATCAAAGCACTTTAAAAAATTCTCATTTTTCTTCCCTGTCTTGTCTAAAGTGTGATGATTTCCATGCTGATGTTCTCCAAGCTGTGGGTTTTACTAATGAACTGATGATAATAATAATTACAGCAAACATATAACACACAAGGTGTCAAATTTTCTGTTGAAGTGGGCTGAACTGCTCATCCCTTGATACATATAAGTCTTTTGTCAAAATTACAAGACTGCAAGCTCTGGAAACCAGGAAAGTAAATTTCATATATATTTTCCCTTAACTCTGCAAAAAGAACTAAGGTAGTTGGACACTTAAATTCCACTAATTCTGTCTTTCTACATCCACAAGGTCAAAACCAGAAATTAGTCAAGTCACCTGGCTTTTAAGTGCCTTGATGTCTTTATGCACAAGAAGGAAATCATTTGTCTGTCCTGTTGTTCAAAGAGTCTTTGCAATGCAGAATGCAGCTGTCAGAATGCAGGGGTAACAATAACTGTTTCAAAGGGCGGAAGAAAAGGAAGTCCTCTAAATTGCGCCTAGGCGCAGAATTTCCACTGCAATCAGGCTCTGCATCTGCAGTGAACAGAGCCCATTGTTCTCTGGAAAACACTGCACTTCCATATCTGAAACACTTTCAAGTGTCAGAGTGCACCAAACTCACGAAACAAGAGAAACTAACGTTATTAAGGTCATGGACAAATACATCTCTGTATGTGATTGTATGAAAGGTACCATCACAGAACAGCAGAGCACTGCAGCAGCCAAGAGGGAGAGCACATCTTGGGTGGAGAAAAGCAGGTTTCCCTTTGGGCATTTACTGCTCCCTGTCCACAGCAGCCAGGTCTCACAATTAGAAACCAGACACCAGAATGCACCAGAACTGATCTGAAATGCTGCCATTTGATGACAAGGAAAGCTGGTCTCCACTGATTAGCAGGCTGTAAAGCCAAAGTGCTGTTTCACTAATAACTGCAGGATATTTCAGAACATTTGTCCCTTTCCCTCAGCTTCTGCCACAACAGCAGTATGCCTGCCCAGTTTTACAATGCACACAACCACTTTCAGAGCACCGCTTGCACGTGAGTGGAGTACAGGGGGTGACACAAATACAGTCCAAACTGATTCCACTAAAAGTTACTACCTTTTTCTTTCTGTGGCCATGAGATGACTTGTAAAAGGTTTTATTTGAGTAGGCATATACATTAAAACTTACTGAAGTTACATGATTAAGTGGAAGCAACATAGTACTAAAGGTTGGTCAAGCTTCCTAACCCAAAATCCATTACTTTCAGAATCTAATTAAAATGCTGAGGCTAAAGTCCAGCTTATAGGTCAGTATTAGAATCCCCCAGAAGACATCTTTTATATTCTGATTTTGTTCCTGAGAAAAGATGTTCTGAACAGCTTTAAGATGGGTCAGGTGCATAAAGTCATGGCATCCAACAGTCACATAACTCAGCCCTTTCCCAGGATCCTGTGTCCACATGAGCAGCACTCATTCCCAAACATCTGTTCTGCCATCACCTCCCAGCTGCCAAATTATTCTTAATGCATTTTAGGGAACTGCCACAATGCAGGGTATATGAGTGGAAAAATTAGTGGGTTTTGAAGTATGACAGAAACCAACAGGACTCTGTAACACTTCAAAGCCAGAGAAGAAAGGTCCCACACTTCAAGGGCACAGGAGAAGGGCAAGAGAGGCAGTGTTTGGGGAGATAATGGAACCAGTTATTACATAGCTGGTTATTGAAGATCTAAGACAACAATAACATAATAAAAATTTGTCAAGAACAAATCTTTTCCTGACACAGCGAGCAAGGGAGAAGCCACAGTTGTGACAAAAAGGCAACTGATAAGGCTTTTAATCTGACACCTGAGAATCTGATAAGCTGAATAAGGCATTGTGGGCTAAACTAAAGAGCAGTTACATCTATCATATGAAGATGTAATTAGGAATACTTCCCTGGCCAACTGGGAGTCAGATGGTGCTCCACAATGATCTGCCATGCACCTGCTTTATTGCATATTTTTCTTACTACTCTGAAAATGAAACTGAGAAAGCACACTTCCAGAATCTGGGCTGACAACTAAGGTGTGGGAAAGATTGCAAGCATCTTAGAAGTATAAATCAGCATGATAATATGAAAATTCTATAGAAACAAATGCAAAGTATTACAATAAAAATTCAAATATGAGGGGAGAAATTGGCCAGATCACAGGAAATCTGATATATTTTAGGTTGTAGTGAGAGTGCAAAACAGTTCAGGAAAAAAACAAATATGTTAACTTTGACAATATGAAGATGTGAGACACAAGAAACAAATATTTTGCTCTGTTCAGCAGCAGTGGAACACAATGTAGCTGGGAAGAAACCTGCAGGTTAAACACCACACTCAGAGAAAATGCAGGCAGAGTGGAAAATGACTACATTTTAAAACCACAGTTACCAGAAGAAAACTATTAAGAGAACAGAATTTGTTTACGGAAGAAAAATGTGAAATGAGGAAAGGGCAAAGTTAAAATCTTCAAGTACTTCTACAAATAAAAGACAAAATGGAATATCTTTAACCACAAAGAACAGAACAAATAATCACTGGTATCATTTCCAGCACAGAATATAACAGGAAAAAACTCAGCAACCTATAAAAATCATCATGCAATGAAATTATGACAATTGATCATGCAGTTCCTATCACTGAAGGCTTTTCACAAGAAATTAAACAAATATGCCATGAAACATTTTGTTAGAGGTTGCTATAAGATTTCGAACTGCCTAATGAAGTTAAGTTGGTGTCACCTCAGAAATAAAAATAGGTTAGAAACACGTCAAACTCAGTGACAATCAATGTAAACAAAGCAAATGCTTTACCTAAGGTACAACTCACATAGCAGGACTTCTGCCGACTGAATAAATTTAACGTGGGAATTGAAAATTACAGTTTTACCTGGATTAAACAGAACACTTGTAACCCCTTTATCTGAAAACAAACAGTGGCATTTCTATGTAAGTGGCAAATAGTGATCTTTAGTTAATGCTCCAAAAGCAAGGTGCAAAATAAGCTGCTGGAGGGGCTGGGGAAAATCTGAGGAGCCGAGGACAGGTGTGTAAGGACGGACCCACCCACAGGCGCATGTCCCTGGCTACTGCATGTGTCGTGCATATGAGTTTGAGTACAAAATGCAGCTCAAAACTGTTGATTTTTTAATCAGCTCTATAACACTGGGGTTGCATACCATCTTGGGCAACGGGGACCCAGTTGAGTTTCATTATAACCACAGAATATGCTATGATGAAAGGGAACCACAAGGACCGTCGAGTGGAACTCAGGCCCTGCACGTGGCAGCCTCCAGACTCACTCCCTATGTGTGAGAGCATTGTCCAAACACTTCTCGAACTCTGACCAATTCCCTGGGGAGCCTGTTCCAGTGCCCAACCACCCTCCTCGAGATTAAATGCAAACTGTCTTTTTCTTATTACTGCCCCTGCAATGGCATCCTGTCGTCTGCCCTGCATTACTACACAGCAGATCCAGTCAAGAATAAAGACTGTGGCACCTGAAACGTATTGTCTCTTCCAAATGCACCACTGCCTTCCCGCCCGCCCGGCCTCCCGAGCTCCTGGCACAGTCTATTCCCAACTCAGGGCGGCTCCGCGGGGGGCAGCAGCAGCAGCTTCCCAACAGCCGGGCACCAACGAGCCCGAACGGCCCCTTCAAACACCCTCGGCTGCGCCCCGCGGGCCCCTCAGCCGAAGGCCGGGCGGAGCCGGGCGCGTCCCTCCCGCGGCCCGGAGGGGCTCTGCCCGCGGAGCCGCCGCTGTCCCCGGCCCCGTGTCCCCGCTCACCATGGCGATGACGGTAATGAGGATGATGACGGCCGCGACGGCGATGCCCGGCCCGCCCCTGCCCCAGCAACCGAAGCGCCACGCCCGGGCCCGCGATTGGGCGGGAGCGGACACGACACGCGGGGCGCCCCGCCCGCCGCCGGACGCGGAAGCCGCCGAGGTGACAACAGTGGGGGCTGTCGCGACATCGCTGCTGCGGGCCGGTCTGTCGGGGCCGGGGCAGGGGGCCCGGGGAGCTGGGCGGGCAGTGGCTGTGCGAGGCCCTGGATCCTGCAGGGCTCGGCGTCCTTAGAGGTAATGATGCAAGCAGTGAGGGAGAGGGAGGAGGAGGGGACATGTTGGGAGGCTTACAGTGCTCCCGCACGTAACTGGCCAGATTGTAGCGTGAACTCCGAAGGAGGAGGATCACCGGCAGGGCTTGTCTGATGGAGCAGATAAGCCCAAATGCTCCTAATCAGTCTTTCGTTGAGTATTCTTGCCTCTTCCTGAGCAGCTATGCTTTTATCCTCCTCGTTCTCATCAAGTAAATAGACATCCTGAGTCAGAAGGAACGAACAGCAGTGGTGATTAACAGCTAATGCTATTAAGTAAGGAAACACACAACTCCAGTTGTAGAAGCAACAGATGGTGAGACATCTCTGTATCAGTAGTTTGAGAAAGCTCAAGGACGAAAAGGTCCTTCTGTTAATCACAAAAGATAAACCTGCCTGACACAAAACAAATCTTTAGTCTAGAAACCCGAAAGTAGCAGTGTGCTCACTGCTGCCATTTAGTTTATAGGGCAGAGAGTTGCTGCGATGGAAGTTAAAAAGCTGTAGTTAAACCATTTCAGTTATTGTTACAGGGAAAGGAAGCAAGGGCCCTGGGGATCTCCCTTGAATAATAGGGAGAATCCCTTTTTTCAGGGAAAAAAAAAGCCAGCCAAATAAGATAGGAGTGTACTGATCTCAAAGGAACTTAGGCCCTAGAAAAGAGGGATGAGTGACTTGTATAATTGAGAGTGGATGGCTCTGTGGATGAATGTCGAAATCGTCAATACCTTTGGTGGGTAAGGGAGAAAATGGCCAGGATGGTGATTTGGGCCAAACTGGAGGTCAGCTTTTGTTGTTAGTTAAACTAACCATGTGCACCCTCTCAGGGCTCTGACTCTTCTTTGACTGAGAATTGGCCCTATCAAAAAGGTTGTTTCAGCAAGCAGGACTGAAGGAATTGTGCAGCTGCCATTGTTTCCTCCTCACCTCTTCATATGCTTGAAGCACAGTGTGGGATTTCCTTTTCTTGTGGTTCTGGGATTATTTTAGGTTATCTTGGCACGGTCATGCAGTTGTACTGTGGGAGTGTTACAGACTTTGAAAGTGTAAGATGGGGGCTCACTGAAAAAAGGAGGGAGGGAGACTAGAAAAAAAAAAGAGGAATGGAAACTAGAACAAGATCAGGAGCAATGCAAAGGAGTTAAAGTGCAGCTCTTGATGAAAAAAAGACACAAGTGCCAGAAGACTCACAATCTTCTCCTTTTAACTCTGTGTGTTTTGGTGTAGTTTTTATAATTTTGTGTTTTCCCCGTTTGTTTTGATGTGTTTTTTTCCACTGTGCTACTGAACTGCAGTTTTGAGGTTTTACTAGAAAACAGGATAATCCAAGATTAACTGCTGCGGTTACCTTGCTAAAGAGTTTTTTTTCCCCCTCTCCTTATTTCTTCCTCAGACTTACCTGGTTAGGAAGAGCTGACTGCTAAAGAGAAAATGACATCTCTAGAAAAAGGTAGGTTGTTCATATGACATCTAAGCAGACTGGATTTAAAAAGTACTTTAACTGGAATTCTAAACATCAGAGTTGCACTGTATACCAGGCTCCTTTCATTTAAACTTACTCCTTTTATGTAGCTATGAGGAAGTAGTTCTGTGAGTTCATTATTGCAGTGAAAACCAGAGCTGCCTGGATGGAACAGCAATTGAATGTAGTTTTTCTAATCCAGCTTGATATTGAAAAATAAGATTGTCATTGGTACTGTGATCTGTCTGTACACTTGTCTGACAGCCTCCTCTGGTATTTAGAACCTGTTGGTACTCATTCAGCAAACTTGAAAGTAAGGCAATTAATGGTGTTATTACAGCATTTTTGAAATCCATTCATATTTGGATAGAAGACACAAGGTCACATTACTGCCTGCGGTATGAGAAAAAAAAGCAGAATGTGTAGCCATGCCCTCAGAAACTTTGTATCTCTCACCTATTGTGAGGAAACAGTACTACAATAATTCATTCAGCTGAAAACTTAGTGGACTTAAATAAAATTAATTTCAGTAAATGTCATGTATATTGGGGACTATAGAGCAGAATGTAGCATTACTGGGAATGCTGGAGTCTGTAGTTCAGAAGTGGAGCAGGACTGGGTTGTTGGCTTTTCTAAAACCTTCACTAGGGCAGCTAAAATCTGTTAGTACTTAAAAGTCTGCTAAACTTCTTAAGGTGTCAGTAGCTGTCTGGGTAATAGCTGTTTTTCATTTTCTTCTTGCTTTTTAAATGAAACTGCACTGATTCTGCCAGCTCCCAAAACCTGATTTTGTTTTCAGTCCATAAGTAATGTTGTCAAGAATTTTTTTTTCCAGGAAAGTTCTTTTTTGTGTCTGCATTTAATCTTGTATGGCAGCAGCAAATTAAAATAAATGCAATTCAGATTAATGTTTGTGTCTTGTACTGCTGTTGTTAATGAGCAGTGCACCTTTGAGTAAGGGCTTACTGTGAGGGTGGTGAGACATTGGAACAGGCTCCCAGGGAAGTTGTGGATGCCCCATCCCTGGAAGTCTTCAAGAACAGGTTGGACAGGGCCCTGAGCAACCTGGTCTAGTGGAAGGTGACCCTGCTTACAGCAGGGGTGTTGTAACAAGATAATCGTGAAGGTCCCTTCCAATCCAAACAATTCTATGATTTTCTGACTTGTGCTTGATAATCACTGTTGCAATGGACTATTTGACACATGCAGTGTACAATTAAAATCTCCAACTCTGAAGTGCATAAGTTAAGGGAAGACTTACAGTGATGCTATAACCAAGTGAAAGGTGGTACATTTTTCCTCCACAATTTCTAAATTTCAGTTGATGATGCCTCAGCACCCATTCGAGGACCTGGAGATGGCATGGAAACAGAGCAAACAGCTGGAGCAGTGGAAGTAATCACTGGAGCCAACACTGCAAGCCATCACATCCACCACAGCCCCCACAAAAAGACAGCTTCTTCCCTGAGTCCTGGAGTTCTGCAGCTGGGGAAAGTACATGCAGATAAATCAGTGGAGATTGAAGCTATTAGAATATTAGTCCCTAAAGCAGCCATCACCCATGTTGTTCCAACTAAAAATGCTAAGGTAGCTAAATCTGTGGGACATAAAGGAGACACATTCCATCAGTCAGATGGAGCCACAGATCCCAAGAAAGAACAGATAGAGCTGAAAAACGCACTTGAAAAGCTAAAGAATTCAGAAAAGAGGTTGTTACAAGATAAAGAAGGTCTCTCTAATCAGCTGCGTATACAGACCGAGGTAAGAAGTTAAAGGTGTTTTCTCTCCCACAGCTGAACTGTTTTGGTTTGTAGAAGCAGTTTGTGAATGTGAGGAAAGAGAACTGCTGTGACACTTTAGCCTTGAAATAAATACGTTTCCTTTTGAACTTACCAGCTAAGATATAGAATAGAAGTACATCAAAGTATTCCAGTGCTGCTTCTCTGACAACAGATGAAAGAGTCAAAGACTTAGCTAGGAGAAACACACTAGATAGCTGCAGAGAAATGAATCTTTCATGAGGAAAGACTTTGCTCCTTAATCTCTAAATGAAAAGTGTTATGCCAACCGTAGAAAGGTTGACTATAACTTCCTACTTCATACGCATGTGGATGTCTTGTCTAACCCTTTGTTATCTTACTGATTCAGGAGCTGAATACTACTGAAACTTTGTTTCCTGCAGCAGGCTTTCATTCTTCCTCTTTGACTGTTAGAATTTAAACAAGAAGGTGTTGGATGTACATTAGGCTCAAATGTTTATGCTTGCCTGGACACATCCCATTCTGGAAAGAGAAAGACAGTTTACTGTTAGCAATTTGCAATAAGTTGCACTGCATTCTCAAGAGTGCTTATTCTCTATTGATAGTTACAAGAGAGTCTGGTCTAATTCTAGGTCAATCGGGAGTTGAAGAAGTTACTTGTTGCTTCTGTTGGGGATGATCTGCAGTATCACTTTGAACGGATGGCTCGTGAGAAGAACCAGCTCATCCTAGAAAACGAAGTCCTGGACCGGAATATGGCTCAGTTGTCGGAGCAGTTGGAGCGCATGTCTATACAATGTGATGTGTGGAGAAGCAAGTTCCTAGCAAGCAGGTATTCGCTCTCATGGAGCTGTCCTAACAGCATTCTCCTTCAGTCTTTCATCACATACACTCATTGCAGTGTGGTTTCATATGCAGAGGACAGCCACAAGAGCCATAGTGATACCTACTGTGAAATCTGAGAATACAGGAAAGGTATAAAGAAAGTAAGCTCCTTGTAAATCTGAATTAATCCTGCTTTTCAGAGCTAATACAGTGAGTCCTAGCCCTCCTAAAATCTCAACTCTTTTCAAGAAAGCTCTTGAAAAGCTCTTTTCAAGAAAGTAAGAGGAGCCCTTAATTTTGATAAAAATGCATGCAGTTTAGGGTATAAAAATGTCTTCTAAGGCATCTGACTTTTCTTAGTTAGGTAGTCAGTTGATTTTTACCCCCACCCCTCAAGAATGGTACAGTCATCAATTTGAGAAGAAGTTGATGTGTTTAGGAGCTCTGCTTATAGTGAGTTGGTGATCTGCTATAGAAGAAAGAGTAGGGCGACCTCTTTATTAAACACTGGCTGTGTTACTGCTCAGGACGTTACTGTTACTTCTTTAACCATAAAAGCAGGTCTGAAAGTCAAAATCCTATTTGACAGTGACTTTAAACTTGCTTAGTTGTCTTACCAGATATGTAAATAGTGTTCTAGGACTTTTAATTTTCTACTATACTTGGATATAATTGACTGAATTATGATGCTTAATGCATATCATAAAAGACCTTACTGCTTGAAGGAAGTGGCAATAGAATACAGTCTGCTCCCTTTAATTTGCTGGAGAAGTTTCAGCATATGGGGTGAGTGGTAACTTGTGTACCATATGGGGTATAACGGTAATTGTAAGTCTTAGCAAGAGTTACTAGGTAAACTTGGAGGGTTTTTAACATTATGAGGAGCTATGACATCAGAGCTGTAAGTCTCAGCAGTGTGGTTGAAGTAACACTCTTCAATATTGTAACATTCTGGTTCATTTTTATCTCCTATTTCTAACTGGTGGTTATTTAAATGCTATTCTGGTTTTTGCATTTGGAATATCACAGGCATTTGAAATGCCTGTTGGAGGGGTAGTGGCAAGCCTCATGGTATAGCAAATGTGACAACAGCTGTCTCCTTTGTAGCTCTTAAACACTCATATCTGGCATCTGGTGATAGCCCCTGGGTAGGGCAAAGAGGTAAATGAATGCAGTCTATAGCCATAGCTTCCATTTTTAGAGAAGAGTGAACAGACGTGATTACAACATACTTGTGAGAATTGTTAATAAAAGAAAAATGTATTTAGCTTTTTATTTCACAGGAACCTTGTCAATGTACACTTTCTCAAGGTGTTTTGAAATGTCTGTTATTAGATTTATATTAAGTGACCTAAGATTTTTTAAACTCAGTCAAAACATAATCTTGCACCGGTGTTGGCTGTAGTTGAACAGAAATTATTCTTAATTAGGTTGATATAGGCTTTGCATGGGAGAGGCGACAGAGAACAGCAGACAGTTTGAGCAGACAAATTATGGTCTGTAGTAGAAAAATTGACTTTCAAGCTGTTCACTTGCACTACTGACTGGAGATTTCCTTTGCAGGGTGATGGCTGATGAACTGACCAATACCAGAGCAATTCTTCAGCGCCAAACCAGGGATGCACAAAGTGCAATCCAGGACTTGCTGAATGAACGTGATCAGTTCCGTCAAGAGATGATTGATACACACAAGTATGATTTTTCCAATCCAGATTACCTCTGTGCAAACTTCATTTTTGTCAGTTTATTTTAGGCTAGAGGAGAATCAAATAACTTTCCTTTCTTCCTGTGATATTCCACAAAAATCAATTAATGCTGATGTATAGTATGGTCACTCTCCAGTCTTAGAGCTGAAAGAGCAAAAGTAATAGAATACTTGCTTCATTCTCCAGAGGTCTGAGGTCTTAAGGGTAATAAACTATGGAACTGGCATCCCTCACATCCTCAGGCTTTCTTTCTTTAATCACTTACTGACTTGACTTCAAGTCTTCTCTGTTTCCTTGCAAAATATCAAAGAAGTGATTCTTCTACCTACATGGACTTTATAGTGCCTATTCTGCTAGATGTCAAATAAGTGTTCCCAGGATTAATCACCTGTGTTGGTGATTAATCACCTGCCTTGCCTTGGAGAATAGCCCATTTGTCTCCTTGTCCTTAAACACTTTTTTTAGTCCATTTCTTTGGTTTAAGATTTAGCTTATGCAGCAAGCCTTGGGAAGAGATGATTCCTCTGAAGTATGCTGGGTGCTGGTTATACAATATAAAATATACAAACCCCACTAGCAGTGCTTCTTTTCTTTCTGCACAGGCTGCTGGAGGAGCTCATGGTGTCTCTTCAGTGGGGGAGACAACAGACATACTATCCTAGTGCCCAGCCTTACACTACAACAGAGCTAGCAGCTGTGAATTGTAAGCTAGCCAAAGCTGTAAGCTCACATCTTCTAGGAAATGTTGGCACTAACAGTCCAAAAAAGACTTCAACAGCTGTGGAGTTTTGCAATACCCCTGCTGAGAAAATGGCTGAAATGGTAAGAGCTCTTGATGCATGTTAATCTTTATATTAAAGTTCTGGGTAAACAGATGTTTCATTTTCACGTTGGAAAAAAGATGATAAATGGCTTTTGAGCAGAAATCCTAGCTCTTAAGAGAAAGAAAAAGCACATTAAATTGTATAAAAGTATTTTCAGTGTCAATTTTTCCATCCTTAGATGCTACGTGTACTGGATCCAGCTGCACATCCAGAAACATCAACAGAAGTTTCTTTTTCTGAGACTTCTCCATCTTCTTTCCTTTCCACAAAGAAAAGTATTGGAAGGTTTCACCCATATACAAGATATGAAGATGTCACCTTCAATTGTTGCAATCACTGTCAAGGAGAGCTGATAGCCCTCTAAAAGCCCAGCCAAGGAAGGTGCACCTGCATTCTTTCTGAAGAATTACAGTAGTTGATGTTCAGCAGGCTTCCCTTTGTCCTTTTTCTGTAACGGGTGGGTTTGGCATTGGAAATTATTCAGTTTCTGCTTCTCTACCTCTTGAAGTTAGGAATTGACAGGATTTCCATAGTCTCTGGGATGCTTCTACCACTTCTCAGTGGGGAAAGCTGCTTATTTTCTTATACAAAGGCAAGACGAAAAACATTATGCTGGTCTAATTTATAGAGCATAGAGATGCTCTTGACTATTTGACATTTATAGTCTTATTAGTAATGAATTTCCCTTTGGAGGGAGACAGAAGTGTAACCATACCAAAGCAAATGAAGTGCTGATCAGTTATGTCTAAATTTAAAGTAATGGTAAATGGTTTTTAATTTTAGCCAAGGTAATGAACAGCCCTCAAGTTCTACCTTTTAAATTTAGTTATAAAGAGGAGTATGTGCAATGATTCTTCATAGCTGTAAGTTCTGAAAGCAAGAGTATATGCAATGTCAGCCCTCCTGTCAAGGAGATAAAGCTTGAATGAACTCTAGCTGTAATATATAAGTAGTAACTGCTTTCAAGTGGGTTTTAGAAAACTCTGTGGGGTGAGGTTTTTCTTGTGTTGCCATAGAGCTGAAATAATGGCTTTTCCATTGTTTCAGCTTCTAGAGTGAAGTTGCTGCATAGCTGATCCTTAGCAAGGGCAGACTGACATACTTCTTTAGTACACAGCATTGAATCCTGGCCTGGCATTAGGACTCAGTCCTTGCCCAAGGTCTTCCTGAGTATTATGGGAAGGTGAAGACAAGCACTAAGTTTGCATAGGTACTGTTAAAAAAAAAAGTATTTTTTTACTTGTATGACTTTATAATCTTGATGTAGATTTGAAGTTCTTTACATAGGTTTGAAGAGAACTTTTAGGAGACAATCTGCTAAATCCAAAGAAGCCTATTTAAGTTTCTTAATTTGACCCCCAAATTTACCATATGAAGCTGTCTAGTTTAGGGAGAAGGTTTCTGAAATGGTTGCTTTTACCCAGTTTTCCTTTGAATCTCATACCCAGGATCAGAATATGTAAGCTTTAAGTTCTTGCTGTTGCTGCTTCTGATTTGGTTTACATGAAGAAAGCTACAATAAACTTCCTTTGCTTGCTTTCAAGCTGTAATTCTGGATTTAATGAAATCACATTTCTGACCCTGATTTCTCTGTAGCATAAAGGGAACTAAATGACATTGAATTGCAAAACTCTTCACTCTGCTGGTGTGAGGCACTGAGAAGCATCACTTTTGTAGTTTTGTACAATGAGGGAGATGGTGTGTGTGAACCTTTGCAAACATTCCTCCTGAATTTGCTTGCTAGACACAGAAAGCTCTTTGTGCCTTTGGTGTCAGGGAAAGGTACTGGAAGGAGGAAGGCACCTGTTACTTACGTGTCCCATGAGCATGTGAAATTTTCATTTTGTGTCCATGCTTGCTCTCTATGCTGGCAAAAGCTGCAACAGAGCAGCCTCCAGTCCAACACCAATGCTCTCAATATGCCTGTAACTAGCCCCAGAAATAACCAAGAAAAATACTACCAGCAAATCAGCTTTGCATCTACTACACTTCTGTCTACTGCAGTGCTCCCAGAAAACACTGTGAATGCTGAAAAATTTAAAAGCAATGCCAGGATCATGACATCCATTGGGGCATACAGCTGGACAGAATGCTCTTCTTCATTCACTAACTTTATGATTTCATAAGTGATTTTGGCATGATCTCTAGCAAGAGTTCACAATTTAGCTGGGTAAGGCCATGTACTTTGGTAGATTTATTATAATAAACATTGACATTTATATAAGGATCCTAGCTTCCTTACTACTGGAAAAAGGTCATAATTTGCACAAGCTTTTAATTCCATGGAATAGAGAGCTACTGAATATGACTCACAGAAGTAAGTTTCAAAACCTGTTGCATGATCACCTACACATTAGTCTTCAATCACCACTTTCCAGAAACCTAAAAGAACACAGTCCTCTGGTCTAGAGCTGGTCAACGGATCAATAGAAAGTGGTACAAGAAACAACATTTTCCAACAATATAACACCTTGCACAGTCAATCACTAGCAGTATCAAACAGCAATATTAATCCACCAAAAATGTAACATTTTACACAGTAGCCTGCATCCAGGAATCCATGATGAGTATAAAGTGCCTTTTAAAGAAGGGAATGTGTATTTGCCACCCTCATTTATACATCTTGCACTCATTTTGATTTGGTTAAACCAAGAAGATCCCTGAGTTATGCATTAAAGCAGGCTTTTTGACTAAATTACAAATAAATAGATAATAAAACCATTGTCACTGAAGGTAATTGTTAAACTTGCTTGAAAGCTTTAAAAACACCACAAAAAGTCAGTAGCTGTAAAGGACAAAAACTCAAGCCATAAAAATTAAAAAGACTGTCACCAAGAACTCTGGCTACATCAAATTTTCAACTGTAATGATCTGAGAAACAAAAGAATTTGGGCTCTGAATTAAATATAGTGGATGTTCCGCATTTGTTTTGCTCTTCTGGCTTCTAATCTAAGCTGCCTGGCTCTCTCTTTAGCAGCTAGTTCTGCTGCTTGTTTCTCTTCTCTCTTCCTTCTCAGCCATCTGTGGAGAGAGAAAGAGGACCAGAAGTACTGGCAGTTGTAATTTCAAGCTTTACATTATCCATTCAAAGGAGATTTGTCCCCCACTTAAGTGTGGCCCACCATGTCTTGTAGGGTGAAGTTGGGTGTCATGGCTGAGACAGTCTAAAAGCCTGCCATACCCAAACACAGGAAGCACTACTTTCCCACCCCAATTCCCCTCCTTCTGTACCCACCTTATGAGTCCATGAAATGAGCTTTATGCTCATTTCATGGACTGAATCAACCCAAGGTCGCTCCAGAACAGGCAACAAGGGTTAGAGGAGAAGATCCCTTTTTTAGCAAAAGTAATTCACTCTTTTTCGCTCAGGTTCTGACAAATAATTTCACAGCAGTGAACAAACAACATCAAGGAACTGATGTATTTTTTTAGGGTGTAAGTTTAAAATGGCATATTCATATGAAAAAAAAACCCTCCAAAACAATGAGGACTTCTGTAGCAAAGATATAGCATAAGATAGCTACAGTTTGAGATGATAGACTAGAGAAGTTTCAGATGTGGTCTCTTAGGAATGACCCTACTCACTCTCTAAAAGCTCTGTCACAATCCTCTGGGCTTGGATAAAAGGCCACTTCTTCAGTTTGGCGTCTCAAGACTTCTATCCGTCTTTCTCTCACATATTGTTGGTGCTTTTTTTTAAGCCATAAACTGTAGGCTTCTTCTGGATCCCTGTGCACCTCCTAATTAATAAAAAAGATGTATACACAAGGATTATCAGTAAATAATAAGTAAATCTCATTATAATAGGGTTTTTTTGTATTCTGCTGGCATCTTCCCTCCATGAAATACACTTCATAAACACACTAGAGCATATGCTAATCTGGCATAGAATATATACATGAGCAAGCATTCAAAGCACCATGTTAAAAAAAGTACTGAATTTAGATTTTTCTTTAGAACAGCATCTGAATCTCCAGGTTTTGATTGGGTCATGTGCATTAACTGCTTACTAACAAGTTCTGATGGCAAGAAACACACTCCAAGTAGTCTTCTCACTGCTTGCTCACTCAGGGCTCAATCAAGGCCTTCTCCTGGTATATGGGAGCATCACTGTATCCCCTGTGATTTTATAGTTAAATTCATGTGTGCTGCTTCTACACTGCAAGCCACTCTGCTAAGCAGATCAATCATAAACCTGCAGGTCTACCTCTTCACCGAAAACAATGTAACAAGAACATTTCCCATTGCTGTAAATTTTCACACATTTAGCTAAGAAGGCAGGTTTAGAATTTGGCTTTCCTATTTAACAAGAGCACCACAAATCCAGTTCCAGATTAGGGAGACCTTACTTTGAGCCTCAGCTCTTCCAGCCGCTTTGCACGACGAATCCGCTTTTCTTGTTGTACCTGTTCTTTCTTCTTTTGTAACCATGCTTTAAAAACTATTTCATTCTGTCTTTTCCTCATTTCTTCTAGTTCCTTGTTCTTTTCTTCTTCCTTAGGTGGAAGGAAAACTGAATAAACTTGGTTTTTAAGAGAATGATCTTAATCTGCAAAGACTGTTGCAGGCAATAAATAAGCCATTTGAACTGCATGAGACACACACTAAAATACAGATGAAACAAGACTACTCAAAAACTGCATCACAGCTGATACAACATTTAGGAAGAAGTTGCTTGGAGCACTTCTGCTTGTGATATATTCAGACACTTTCAGTCTAGCCCTTTTTGTGATTGCCTCCATTTCCATGACACCTCTTGACTAACAGACATTCAAATAGCATCAGCCAAAAACTCTTAAAATTAAGTCTGCCCAATATCTCTAGTTAGCTTAGAATCACTTTAAATGGATACATTTTAAAAATGAATGCAGCTCTCTGGCTTGATGGACCACTGAACCCTAAAGGATATTTGGCAACACATGGATTGCAGGCACTACCTTATTTATAAGGACCTTTTTTGGACATGAAGTTGCAATGTATTGACTTAAGGAGTATTAATAGCTTCGGGCTTTTTTCAAGTGCACAAATTTATATTTACAAAATTGAGAAAAGTTTCTTTTACTTATTAATTACATTTTAGCTAAGGATAATTATCTACAAGGAAGAGAAAAAGTTTCAATTAATGCTCCAGAAAGCTAATTAAGACATTTTTTACCAGGATTTACTCTCCTTGACACAAAAGCTATAATCCCAACTCATTTCAATACTTCAAGAAATCTAATCTTGCAAATAGATGATCTTCCTCCCACCTATATACAACTTCCTTATATCCTCCAAACTTACCACTTCTAATTTACTGGAATGAAAGAAACGCCACCAAAATGAAGCAGATAGATTCTAGTAAAGTCAAGAAATGTTTAATGTCTGTGAAATCCATCGCAGAATGGAAGAATTCCATTCCAGAATGAAGAAATAAGGTAACACATGCTTACTTTTCCATAAGTCAGCCAAGAAAGGAAGAAATTTAGCACACGCTGTTAGGAAAATAACCTTCCTTCCCCTCACCACCCTACATTTTACGTTAAATATACAGAGCATGTTTTCAAGAGATCTAGTCTTGTGTGCACAAAAAAACCACTTCAATTCCTCATCAGATTTCATTCCCCTCGTTACTAAGCTGAGCCTCAGCAACCTTTTCAAATAAAGCAGGCTAGAGCTCTTTCCACAGATAGAAAGTAACCTTGGAAGCTACTTAGCCAGCTTAATTAGTACATCATGGCAGAGAAAAATGGCAGATGCTTCATGCTCCTTTTATAGAGTAACACACATAACAAGTTACCTTTTTGTAATTGTAT